TAACCCGCTGCGCCACCAGGGAGGGCCCAGTGTTTTGGGTTTTTTAAAAGATTTATTTACACACACAAGAACTGGAATGTAGGTCAGAGATGTGGAGGTGAGAGGATTCCCCAGAGACAGTAGGGAGCAGAACAGGCAGAGCTACTGAAATACACTGCTGAGGGGGAAGCAGCGGGTGACAATGGAGAAGTCTGCAGGCCAGGGGTTGAACTCTGGTTGCAGTAGCTAGGGGTAGTTTGAGTGCTAAGACTTAACCCCTTGTGCTGCCAAAAGAGACCCTCTAATTGGTATTTTTGTTGTGTCTTGCCAATTTGTTTTCTTTAGTTTTTTCTGTTCTGTAAATGAGTGAAACCATTAGAACAACTTTCTGACTTATTTCATCACCTCAAGATCCCTCCATTTTGTCCCCAAAGGCAGTTTCATCTTTTTAAATAGCTAAATAGTATTTCATTGGGTGTACATTCCACAATTTCTTTCTCTAGTTATGTCAGTGGCATTTACCTTGGTTCCATGTTTTGCTATGGTAAATAATGTTGCTATGAACATAGGAGTGCATAATCTTTTTGCTTTAGTGTTGTCATATTCATTGGTTAAACACATATTAGTGAAATGTATTGATGGGTCATCTGGTATTTCATTTAGTTTTTGAGGAATCTCCATAATGTTTTCCATAGAAGCTGTGCAAAATCATTTTCCAAACAGTAGATCAGTGTTCTAGTCTTTTTGAAACAGGCCATTCTCATGAGGGGGAGTTGATATCTCATTGTGGTTTTGCTTTGCATTTCCCTAGTAAGTGATGTTAAAAATTTTGTTTTCTTGTGCCTGTAGACCATCTGAATATCTTCTTTGGATAAGTATCTATTTAGGTCTTTTGCCTATTTTTTGATTGGGATTTTTGTCATTGTTGAGTTTTATGAGTTCTTTATATATTTTGGAAATTGACCCCTTGTATGATATACAAATATAGCCTCCTAGTTCATAGGTGGTCTTTTTTGTTTTTGTGGCAGCTATTTTCATGGTACAAAAGGTCTTTAGTTGACTATAGTATTATTAGTTTATTTTCGCTTTTTCCCCTCTTTGCCATTGGAGTTAACTCCCCAGATACATCTATGATGGTAGATGTCAAGGAGCATATGACTTGTTTTCATTTATGTATTTTATGGTTTCAGGTTTTGTTTTATAATCTTTAACTGATTTTGATTTGATTTTGTGTGTGTGTGTAGTTAAGTAATTAATGCCTGTTTTTTGTTTTCTTTGCATGATGCTGCCCAAGTGTCCCACCATTTGTTGAAGCGGCTTTCTTTTCTCCAATATAAGGTCACGATTTCTTTATCAAAGACAAACTACCATTATTTGTGTAGAATTATTTTGGGACTTTCTATTCTATTCCAGTGGCCTGTGTTTCCATTTCTGTGAAGCTGGAGTTATGAAACTTTCACATGACAATTTACTTCCCATGGTTCTTTTCTATAAAATTTACTGGATGATGAAAAAAAATTTACTGGATGCTGAACTCCACCAAGGTGAGATGGTAAACCAAGAAGGGAGAAAAACATGAAATTCAGGAAATATAGGATCTGGGAAAGTAGAAAAGGTAATTTCCCAGCTGTGGGAATGTTTCTAAGAAAATGAAGTTGATAGTACAGTTTATATGACTGTCTATAATTGGAGAGTTTTAATTTTATGGAAGAGTTTAGTAACACATGAATGATCATAACACACAAAAGAAAGCAAACAAAAGGCAATCATTAACTACTGAAAATGTAATAGCAATACAATGAAGTGAACTGATTATAGTGCTGGTAACTGTTGTTTTTTAATTTGCATACTTATTTTTTGACCAATAAAAGCAAACTTTTTTATAATTCACTCTTTCATTTTTTCTTATATGATTTCCTTTATTATGGCTTTTCAATTTAAAAGAATTATCAAAATAAGTTTTTTTCCTTAAAAAGGTCATATGATCCTAAATAGCTTATAATAAAAAACAGCAGTTCCTTACCTTTGGCCTTCAGTGTCTCAGTAACTGTATCAGCCAGGCTCTGATCTGAGAAGTACTAGGAATGATAGAGAATAAAGGTTCTATGACAGAGATTCTACCTTTTACAATTGTAGGACAGTGGTTAACATTTCTGGGGTCTAAAACCAATCAGACAGGCAATTTGGTAGGAAACATTGACTCAGAGTAAAAGAGAATAAGGGGCAGACTTGAACCTATACCATTATTTCAGTCTTACCAAGCCTCCAGTTTGAATGATTTAAGTGCCCTGCAGAACATGGTGTTCTTCATCACAGAGTCCAGGTTCTGGGTCCAGGAGTTAATAAGCCAAAAAAGAGATCATGCTTGAGATCTTTCCTGGAACCACTATACAATCACTAAATTTATTTCTCTGTATGTATTATCTCCCTTGCAAGGGTTTAAAAATTACTCTTTGTAACTCTTGGATTGATGATCACATCTGTAATTTTTTTGGTTTTAATTAAATTGGTTTCTGCTTTATCTTTGATAGCTAGATTCAAAGTCTAGTTCATCTAGAGCAATAGTGGGGAAAATAAAAAGAAAAAAACCCGAAGTTTAGATCATCTATTTTGCTTCTTGCTTCTTTAATAAAGAAGAATACTTTTACTAATAACAAATTAAAAAACTACTATATGTAATATGTTCTCTATATATATGGACTAAAAACTGGTAGTCCCACATCACCAGTTGAGCAGTATGCAAACAAGTGTGTGTTTGCATGTATATATGCTCGCTGCAGAAAACCTCCAAAAAATACTGAAAAGGAAGAAAAACAGGAAAATGCACTATAACTTATTTAAACATTCCACTCGTTGGCTTTAGGTTTACCCTTTTTCCTTTAGGAAGCTGACATTTTGGCTTATATTTTTTGGGTGTAAGAGGAACAAATTGCTACAAAACATGTGGTTTATGCATCTGGTACACAATCCTGCACCCTTCCCAGCCTGGCAAAATTAAATCTCTAATCCATGAGAGAATTTCATTCTGAGTATGTGATAGAATTATGTAGATATGTGTATATAAATATATATGCAATTTTTACTCCATTGTTATTCTTAAATTTCACATACTTATGGCTAAATTAGATTCATAACTCAAACTTCTGGATGCAAAAACAACACTACTAAAAAAGTTCTTCACAGTCAAGAACATGAAGTTTTGGGATAAAATTTTCAGTACTCGTTTGTGTTAATAGAACTATTTAGAATCTATCCTGTTAAATAACCTTAAATCTAATACTAATCTAGAATATAACAATTTGAAATTCTACTTGACAGTTCATACGAGTGTAACACTAGTAGGAACTAGTATTAAGCAAAATATCAATAGGTAACTTGGCTAATATCATCCAACCTGGACATGCTGTCACCTCCCCTAAGCAAGGACCTAGCTTAGTTGTTGTAAGTTACTCCAAAGATTTGTAAATAAAACACACCATCTCTGTCCTCCATGGGACAGGGGTTGGGCAGTAGAAATAAACACTTAAATACAACAACAGATTAAGAAAAATTGATTTTAGGGGGCCACATTAATCGGGAAAGATCTCATGGGTAGGATTTAAAGGCCAGTCAGGGGTCACTCCAGTCACTGGAGGGAACAACATGAACAAGATCGCTGAGCCAGGAGAATGAGGTTGTCAGGAGAACCCTATCAGTCAAAGTGAAAAAGAGACAAGGCTGGGAATATATACTAAAACTATACAGAGCAGACTTTTGGTAACAAGAGAAAAGGTATATAGGTGTATTCTGTAAGCAATGGAAACCACTGGTGTTTGCTAAGGAGGAAAGTGAAAATTTCATCTTTGTTATAAAAGATGTTACACAAATATCTGTCATTTTATAAATAAATGGTCAATATATACACTCGTTTAAAATTTTTCTTCATCTAAAACAAAACTTGCAAGCTGGCCATAGCTCTGAGGTATCTATAGCAAGGGAGGGGAGGAGGAGGAGTCAAAATTGGGGAGGAAAGTACACAAGAACTATCGTGTTAGATCATGACACCATGGTGGTAGAATATAACTACAGGGTCCAGCCAGAGGGTAGAAATCAAATACTATCCAAAATTAAGAAAATAAACAAATGAAAGATCAGATCTAAACTTTTTCCTCTTCATTTCAATAAACAATTTATATAAAACTTTCATTTGTTATTTTTTAGATTTTTTTCCCCCAAAATTAGCTATACATGATTAATTTATCACAACAAATTAAAGTACTACAATATTGGTATTTCCTATTTATATTTTTTTCCCTATATATATCCTGTTTGTTGAAATGAAATAAATTAAATGGAAATATGCTATAGAAAATACATTTTAATCCAAAAGTTTGAATATTAGTTTTTAGTTTTTTTAAAAAAAGATTTATTTATTTATGCATATAGAACTGAGGTACAGGCCAGAGGTGCAGGGGCAGTGAGAAGCTTCACTAGAGACAGAGTGGGGAGCAGAACAAAGTACACTGCTGGGGGTCGGAGAAGTGGGGGGGCAACAGGTGAGCCAGGAGAGGTCTGCTGTGCCATATGTGGATCACCTCCCAGGGCCAGGGATCCATGAACTCACTGAAGCAGCTACAGCCAGCTTGCAGTGCTGTATCCTAGCCCACTGCACCACCAAGGAGGGCCAGTTCTTAGTTATTTACAACGGTATTTACAATCAATTTCACTATATTCATTTTGAATAAAGAGATGACTATATACAGTTATCTACAATTGCTTTTTTTTTTCAACATACTATAACTGTGTAGAAAAGTTGCTATACAATTATTACAATTAAACTAGGTTCTGACAAATTTTCCTGGGGCTGAAATGTTAAGTCAGGGTAGAAGAGGAGACAAATATGTGCAATCCTTACTTCTTCCGATTTTCATATTGTTAAAACAGCCAAAAGTCTATTGGCATTTTTCTAGATGAAAAAATAAAGCTTGTTTAGCTTTGTGATACTGTTCATAGCTACATTTTATTTGATTAAGACTTTGGTAAGAAATCCAAACAATTAAAACTTTAATGTATAAAAATACAATTCATTCATGAGTTTCTAGAAATAAGTTATACAGAAAAATAGGCACTACCTGTTCCTAATGGTCTCCTTGGAAATCACAGTCTTTGCCTGGGAAGATATATACATAGAATGTTTAACTTCAAAGTACAGTTAATTCTTTTTTTACCCCTTTTAATTTTCTAAATGACTAGTAATAAGCAAATGGTTTAAAATACTAATGATAATTGGGTAGTAGAGATAAAACTTTTATGTCATTTTTCCATTTAAGAATTTCATTGATAAAAAGATGGCATATTTTATAGCAGTAAGAAAACAAAGCAACTGGAAATCTAGCTTTACTTTTCATACTATAGATGGTTGGCAACTGTTTCCTTAATAGTTATTGCAGGAGTAGGTCCAACATGAGTCCATATATAGCCCTTCTCTGGTCTTGTGGGAACTGTGGGAAATGGTGATGAACGTGACTTGAAATATTCAGAAGGTGCATGACAAACAAATTCCAAGTATTCCATCTTCCTTGGAAGATCTTCCTCTGGTCCTGAAAAGCAACCAGTGGAAAGGTTCAGCACATTTTTAAACACATATTTCATTTCTTTAAAATGGCATCATTCTTAGATACTAGGAAAACCATTCTGGTGGTAATTCAACATTAGTCCTTGAAACATGTATATTCTGAAGTTACTTTCCAACTTTTTCAACTGCTTTTTCAACTTTTCCAAACACTTTAACTACTTAACTAATAAGCATTCTTCCCCCAAATATCAAGTCAAGATAGAAAGAATTCTAAAAAGTTAGTCTTATATTGTGTTTATCACGTGCCTACAACGATCTAAGTATGGTCCATATATCAACACTTTAAATCCTCATGCCAACCCTCTGAATTAGGCATAGTGCTTCCATTTTATATATTAGAAAAACGAAGTAAGACAAGCTAAGGAACCTAATGTACTTGCCCAAGATCATACAGTTAGTGGCTGGGCTATGAGCGCAGACAGTCTTAATTCCAGAGTTTGTTTTCTGATCCTCTCTGCTATGCTGTCTCCTCTAGAGGACTGGGAACAGAGGCACAGAGATGAGTGCCTCTCTGAGAATCCTGTCTGACAGATTAGGTAAATGACAGTTCATTCTTCAATGTACTTACAAGCAGAAGATCAAAACTGGTCATGTATCACATTTGCCATGTTGGTGACAATAATAGCGGTACATTATTTGTCCCTGAGTTCTGCTGAAGAAATTTTTACATGTTTTCTTTTAATTATATAATTATGCCAATATTTTAATAATTCAAAAGTACTTAGTAAGAAAATAACAAGCATGGCTCCCAACAGGAATGTTACACTGGGCTCTGGCACTTAGCTCCACAGGTCAGAAATGTGGTGCCTCAAGCCCACACACCCTAGAATGGGTCTTCCCACTCACTCATGCCCGTTCCACAAATGCTTTCACTGAACCAGTGTCCACGAAATGATGGTATAAGTGTCTTCTTTTTTTTCAGAGTGCAAAAGTATCACATGTAAATTGCAGAAAGTTCTAAAGGTTCACAGCAGATTAAAAACTTTGGAAACATTCAAAATTGTATTTATCACTAACTTCTTCTGAGCCAACATCAAGAGATTTTGTCCCATTCCTTTTGGCATTCTTGAAATTAATGATAGTACAGTGGCTGCTACTTCAATTAACAACAATAGCAAGTTATAAAAAGCAAACATGTGAGACATAAATGGGCACATATTGAGAATTTGTAAGATTGAAAAAAAACTGCCGTATTCCTTTTTGGAAATTATTATTGAACAGATTCTTGTAAGTAACCAAACTATCCTAGCTCCCAAGGGGTAAATTTTAATAAAGTTAAATCCTAGGTTACTTGGAAAATCTTACTGACAGAACTGTTTAGCAGGTTCACATTTCCCAAACTCAAAATAACCAATCATATCCAACCCTGTTATAATGTCCTTCGTATTGCCTACAAAGCTCTCTAATTTTTTGTATTTGATGATATTTAAGCTTCTTTATTATGGACTGATTTATATCCCTCTCAAGTTTGTATGTTAAAGCTCTAACTCCCAATGTGATGGTATGGCCATACCTCCTCATAGAGAGTTAAATGAGATTGTGATCCAATGTGATTTGTTTTTTTTTTTTAACAAACAAACAAAAAAAGACATTTTTGGCAGATATGAAGGACAAGAAAGCTTTCTGTGCAAAGAGGGGACTCCAGTGGGTTGCCCTGATTATATTCTTATAAGAACAGATGCCAGGAGTGTACAAGCCTGGAAGAGAGCATTTACCATAAGCCACCTAAAAACTCCTTGAATTTAGACTCCAGCCTCCAGAATTGTGAGAAAATAAATTCCCGTTGTATAAATCCTATAGTATTTTATGCAGCCTGAACAGACTAATACATCCTATATATAATAATAGGAAATAACAGTGTTCAAGAACCTGCAGTAATTGTCAAACTCACCTATGATATAGGATGCAGGATCAAATTGGTCCCTGGGGCTAGAAAGGGTGGGGATGAGCCACGTTAGTGCTGCACTCTTCTCACAATACTGGTCTTGGATAAATCCCCTGATCTGGGCATAGTAGGGTTTTCCATCTTGTTCATCAATCACAGAAACAACATCGCCAATTTGGTAATATACTCCCTGGGAAAAGAAGATAATTCCATGTGTAAAGTGAATAGAACATTTAATATTAAAATGAATATGAACTGAAAATTCCTCACATAGAGCAGTCATTTTCAAAGTGGTTAATAAAAGGTTTTTGAGATTGTCTGAAGTATCAGTGTTTACATGATTGACGCCAAATCTAGAACTGTTTCACTTCTGAATGACAATATTACACACATACATGACAACTACAGAAAACCTTTGTTTATAATGATATTTTGATTTTATATAACAAAGGTTAATATCCGTACTTTTTTTGTTTTTTGGCCAATGCCACTGTGCTATAGAAAGGTTAAGTGATTGGCTGATAGCCACGTAAGGCAGAGACTGAAGCCGAAACAACTGTACCAATTTAGGTATCTACCTCTGTACTGTCCTAAAAAGCAGTGCTTACCTGGTGAGAATATATTCTATATACCTTCTTCCCTAATCATTCACTGAAGAAAACACACCATATTTTCAACCAAGAAAAAAGACAGAAACTCTTTTGATTACAATCAAAGGATAGCTGTACCTTCCCTCAGTCTCACTGGGCTTGTCTCGTCCCCTTCAATGCATTTTAACATTCTCCCATTAAAAAAAAAAA